TTGGGAAAGCCTGTTCCAGCCAGGTAGAGGAGAAAAAAATAAATGTAATTTTTTCTACTTTCCTCTTTCTGGCAGCAGTATGTCAAAACATTGACTTAGTATTTCAAAACAGTGTCTTGTTTTCACCAAATATTGACTTAATATCTCGAAAGAGTTACTTATTTTCTCAAAATATTGACTTTTTTTGAGATACTTTGTCAAAATAATGAGCTATTAAATTACAAGAAAGTATTCTGGAAATTAGTGTCATCTTCACAAGAAAGTAAGTCATTATTTCAACATCAATATGTTGACACAGTAAGTCAATATTTTAATAAAGTTATATTTTATGGTAGTGAATAAGACATTCTTTCAGTGTAGTCATTATTTTGACTTATTAAGTGAATAATTTGAAAAAATAAGTCAATATTTTGAAATGCGAAGTCAAAATTTTGACATACTGCTGCCAGAAACTGGTAATTGGAGAAAAAAAAAAATATATATATATATATATATATATCCTGTATTTGTTGGGAATAGTTTTCAATAATAAGTAAAATTTCTCTGTTATGTTGTTTACAAGTTATGGCACAAGAGTATCACTCACACGTTATTTGTTCACTGTGAATCACATGAGCAGAAAATAATCTATTATGTCTGATCTCAGGGAGAACAAAGGCATTTTCTTGCTTTACATCAAGCTTTGAAACTTTAGATAGCCACACAATGCTAACATTAGCTAATGTGCATTTCTCCTAAACTTTAAACATGTTTTTGTTGGAAACTTTACTTATTGTGCCTTTAAACTAAATTAATCTAAATCACAGTCGTTGAAAATCATCATGCAAATGTTCCGCAATGTTACTCATTGGACTCACAAATGAGGCTTATGATCATCACCACATGAGTATTTTTATGCTTCGCTAAAAGAGGAAAAAAGAGGACGGATGTAAATGAGGGCTAACCCGTTTAAAAAGCAAAGCGTATTACATTTTACACAAATGAACTGACAGCCGCCAAGTATATTAACCACATTTACTGGTGTGTTTTCCATTAACGAAGGCCTCCTTAAATTACTGGTGGAATTCTACTTCATTTGCAGAATTCAAAGCAAATATAGAAGAATAATAAATAGAGGGGTTGAATGCTGATAAAAAAAGCAATTCAGAGAGCACATCAGACTGATAAGTATAACTAATCAAGAATGGCTATTTATCACCAGGGGCCTATTAGACTGCAGCCTGTGGGACAAATGACCCTGCATAGGTCCTCAGATTTTTTGTGGTGCCGATGTTTACTTTGGATCGGGGAATATTCTCCACAAGCATGGTAGCAAGGGGCTCAAACACGCCGGGTGCCCTGAAGGAAAGCCTCAAAAGGGGGGGAGGACTCCTCCCACTAGAGCCACATTTCCTCCCTGCCAAGTGCTCTGCATGCATAAATGGAGGCGAGTCACTCAGGCTCAGGAAGCTCATTCCTTGACGTTATATAACAACACACGGGTCACTGCATCGACTCCCCCCCATGCTACCATTAGGAATGATATGCATTATTACAGAATGCAATCTGAGCTCTCTATGAGAGAGAGAGAGAGAAAGAAAGAAAGAAAGAAAGAAAGAAAGGCCCAAATGCTGAGGCTGATAAACATAAGCTCTGATTACAGAAGGTAAATACCTTTGCACATTGTCTAGGCCTAGGCCAGGGGTAGCCCCAAGTTTAGAGCTGATAGTTTCAACTGGTGTGACTTTCCACTACATTGCCTTGCTTTTTCATACATTCTGATACAAGTAAAATATACATTTCTGCTACTTTCAGTGAGAAAGTGAAAGATTTTACCATCTGTATTCAACTTCTTCCCCCTGCTAAATAATCTTGAAGTTGACAAGTTATGAAAGTAGAGGTGGAATGCTTATTATTATTAGCCTTATTTCAACCTTTGTGATTTTGAAATGTACAGTAAATAAACAGTAACTGGTTTTGTAGGCTTAAGCAGCCAAAAAAATGTGGATAATACTTCATACTTCAATAGTACTTCATTAAAGCAGAATTCTACCCATATTTCAAATTTTCTACATAATTAAATGGTTAAACTGTAAACAAAGTCATTCGGAATGGTTCGATGTGAAATGCTCCATTCTTGACAACCTTGCCGAGTCAAAACTGTTCACAGTGGTAGTGATAGGAACCAGACGTGTTTAATGACTCTAAAAGCATAAAAATCTAAAAACTCACAGAAAATGATGACATGCTTGATGTCTAAGATATTGTTTTATGGTCATTTTGAGAGAAGATTTTGACCTAAAACACACACACACACACTTGTCCTCCTGGGTCGCGGTGGGTGCTGGAGCCTATCCCAGCGGTCATTGGGCAGAAGGCAGGATACGCCCTGGACAGGCTGCCACTCCATCACAGGGCAGACACAGAGACAGATACATTCACACACACACTCACACCCAAGGGCAATTTAGCATTTGCAATTCAGCTGACCTAAAACACATTCCTTTAAAATACAATCATAGTGGAGAGACACATGCAGAATTTAAATTTTTTTTCTTTTAGATTTATCACTATTTTGCCCTTATCAACATTACATATAAAACCTTGTGGTGGTTCATAAGTAATTTTGGATAATAAATAAAATGGCTACATTTGTGTCAAACCATTTCACATCTCTATAAATAGCCAAACGTTTATGTTAAGCAGGTTAATTTAGGATAAAATAATGACCCTTCGCATGCACTGGAAATGTTTTCTTGTCTTTCCTGCAACATTGACTGGAATAATAATCTAATGCACTAAGTCAGTTAATGTCTGTCAAAGTTTGTAATACACCCCCAATTAAATTGTGAATTATGCTTCTGGATCCCATTACAATGAAGTTTTTAAACCTACTTGATATCAACAGTGAACTGTTATTACTATTTATTTTAACATTAGGACCTTTCCCAAACTGTTCCCACAACATTGGATGCATAGATTTGTCCAAAACGTCTTGGTTATGCTGAAGCATTAAGATTTTCCTTCACTGGAACTAAGGGTTCTAGGCCAACCCCAGAAAAACAACCCCATAGCATCATCCCTCCTCCACCAAACTTTATACTTGGCATAATGCAGTCAGGCAGGCAATGTTCTCATGGCAATCGCCAAGCCCAGACTCGTCCATCAGACTGCCAGAGAGAGAAGCGTGATTCATCATTCTACAGAATATGTTTCCACTGCTCCAGAGTCCAGTGGCGGCATGTGAGTTTGCATGGTCTACCACTACGTGGCTAAGATGTTGTTGCTCCTAGACACTTTCATTTCACAATAATAGCACTTACTGTTGACAGGGGCAGATCTAGCAGGACAGAAATTTCATAAACTGACTTGTGGCAGAGGTCACATCCTATGACAGTGCCATGTTTAAAGTCACTGAGCTCATCAGTATGATCCATTCTACTACCAGTGTTCATCTAAAAAGATTGCATGGCTATATACTTAATTTTATCCATCTGTTAGCAATGAGTGTGGCTGAAACACCTGAACTTAGTAATTAGGAGGGGTGTGCCAGTTCTTTTGTCTGTATACTGTATATGTTTGCTAGGTGGGTGAACACATCCCAGTACAGTTATAATTGTTACCATGTTATCTGTGCGCTTTTAAATATGAAGTCGTTTAAATGTGTCTGGGAACAATACTTTCATTTATTTCACATTTTACTTTATTTATTTATTTATTATTCTACAAACTTTTACTTCATTAGGAAACGTGAAAGAAACAATTAAAGAAGGTGCATAAAAACCTTATATAACACAAAGCTTGTATATATGAGTAATATATGCCATCCATATATGTATAATGTTATCGTTTTATAAATATGTACATGATATACATAGCTGAAATATTTGAAAATGGCCCATTTCAAATAAGTTGGCATATATGTCACATGTATGTCCATATGTGACAAATATGTGGATAAAAGTAAAATCCATAAGTACTAAAATATACCATATATCTGAAATCTATATCTCGCCATATACTCACTGATCATTTTATTAGAAACACCTCCTTGTCTGTTATACCTGTTAGCAATGGGTGTGGCTGAAACACCTGAACACACATTGTCCATTTAATCAGCTCCACTTACTGTGTAACTGCAATTTGTAGTTCTACAATTACAGACTGTAGTCCATCTGTTTCTCTACATACTGTTGTTATCCCCCTTTTACCCTGTTCTTCAATAGTCTGTACTCCAGCAGCCGTGCTGTGTCTGATCCACTCATACCAGCGTAATACACACTAACACGCCACCACCACGTCAGTGTCACTGCAGTGCTTAGAATGATCCACCACTCAAATAATACCTGCTCTGTGGTGGTCCTGACTATTGAAGAACAGGGTGAAAGGGGGCTAACAATGTATGCAGAGAAACAGATGGACTACAGTCTGTAATTGTAGAATTACAAATTGCACTTATAAGGTAAGTGGAGCTGATGAAATGGGCAATGAATGTAAATACAAGGAGGTGTTTCTAATAAAGTGCTTGGAGAGTGTATATCAGATTTCCGTATGAGTATTTATAAATTAAAGTGCACTGTGATTGGACTGGACAGTAAGTGATTGGACTGTAAGTGGACTGTTAGATTGGATTCTTACACCATTCCCAAAAATCGACCTAGGAGGCTTTTCCAAGAGGCCTGAAGAATTTCCTTATGCTAAATGTGCTGCATACGCTGAGCGCTTGTTGGCTGCCTGAAAACTTAATGCATGAATTTATAAATATATATATATATATATATATATATATATATATATATATATATATATATATATATATATATATATAAATTCATGCATTAACTGTTTAGACTCATGCATAACTCTTTAGATACCGATATCTTTCAAATTTTGAAAAGTACACAAAACTTTTATTTTATTATTCCGCTCCTAATAGTCACCGTGGAATCTGATTGGCTGGTTGGAGAAAACGCAGCGTGCGGTATCCATGACAACAGCAGCTTCACTTCCCAAACAAAGCGCTGATGGCACCGCGGCTTGAGAATGAACTCAAGCTAGTCGCTGTGCAGAAACTGAGAACAGGCTAAACTGAAGTAAGTGGCTTTCCTGACAAATAGACACTAAGCAGATAGTCAGTATGGTCCGTTTGTATGTCTGTTTAGTATGAGTTCCCTCTAACGTTAACCTGAGATGAGCTAATCGCCGGAAATTTTGAGAATGGAGAGGGTTCAGAAACCCGTTAACCCAGGTGGCAAACGACCAAGCTCAGTCTGTGTTAGATACGACGTTAGTGGGTGAGCTACACTTAAGTTATCCCTACTGAAAAAAAAACGCGTAGACCAGCATTACACACTGATCTACAGTGGTCTATGCTGGTTTTTGCTGGTCTAGTGCTGGTTTAGTAGGTCACCCAGCATGTCCATAACACAACAAATGCTGGTTTTGCTGGTGACCAGCTTTTGCTTGCAGGGTTGCATTGATTCACTGACAGTTTAACTCATTAATGTCCATATCTTCTCTGAGCTGAGCACAAATCTTATGAGTTTTTGTTGCCTATCATACTAAATCCAGTATTTTGGTTGCATGGAATTTAACAAAACAATAGAAAATCCTGATCTGATTGTGAATAAAAGTGTGAAAATGACAGATAATCAAATAACCATGCCCGTGACTTGTCCATCAAAGGTATAACTATACAAAATGTTATCACTTTGGACCAGTTCTGTGACTTTTTCCCTTATCATCATAAATTTATTTGTTGGGCATGAATGGGAAACTCCTCCTGAAACGACCTGATTTATAGTTTATTGGTTTTTTTTAAGTTCACATTTCATTTCTTGTCATTTCAAAGCCATAACTGCTGTGTTTCTCCAGCCTTAGGGGTTTTATCAGTGTCTCCTGAGGGTCCTTCTCTATTGATTTTACAGGCCTCTCCATGTCATCTAGTGGTAGCCTTATGCTCGAAGATCAAGTGTAGAAAAGACATGCTGTCATGCCTTGATGTATATGTTATCTTCCTCTTTCTCAGCCTTTTTCTGGTGGTTGAAAAGCCTAAGTCCAGAGCCGTGGTTTGCTGAAGAATTATACTGGATAATAACTGGAGGAAAAACCTTTTACATTTTTTTCAATGCATATGAATGGGTTTACAGTGATAAAGACACAGCAAGCAGATGTCTCAGGGTCAGGGCAATAAATAATGCAGATCTCAAGGGAATTAAGCTAGTTTTTCTATGGGTATAGAACTGCCTTCCTCTTAAACTTAGGTCAGGTCACCTTTAGAGCAAGTATCTAATTCACCTTTGGCCTCTCATTTGCCTCTTAAAAGTACTAGGTGACTTGCAGGAAGCCTGACCATGATCCAGCATGGTCCAGCACTGTAATGTCTTAATTTGATAATTTGGTTAAACATCTGAAAAATACTTAAAGGTCCCATATTGTGGAAAAACACAATTTCCTCGCTGTTTGGAAATGAAGGAGTTTCAAGTGATATGTAAACATTGTCAAAGTTCCAGTGTGTACCATTCACTACACCGGCAGTGGACAGTTTCTATTGGTCCTTTTGTCATGTACCGTTTACATAATGTAAAACGCACAACAATATTTTCCTTCTGCAATTATAGGTGGTTTATTGTTAGATCTATTTCTTTTCTTAAAACTCTTTTGGTGTCATACCACATAACCATGGTATTTTGCAGATAAACATCACAGATATACAGAGCACTCCAGCCGCCATGGTTCGCCTGACTGTGGATCTGATTGCCAAATCCAGCAACCACAAAAACAGAAGAAACTGTTCCCTCCCACAATATCTCAAGAAATTAACACATCTCAACTTTTCAAACAAGAACATAGATGATATCGTAAGTCTTGCCATTTTGAATTAGAATCTACTTTTGTTTTTTTTGGTTTGCTCCAATGTCCTGTCTCATTCCTGTTTTTAGGATGATCTGTCCATGTGCAGAAACCTCACAGTTCTCTACCTGTACGACAATCAGATAACACACATCTGCAGTCTGGGTTTTGCCTCCAATCTTACGCACCTGTACCTGCAGAACAACAGCATCACTCACATAGAGAACCTGTCATCACTACAGAGGCTCTCTAAATTGTAAGTATGGGAAGGTGGCATGTGGAGTAGTCACAATCCAGGTCAAAATAGATCAAGCCAAGTAGTCTACAAATGTATTTAACTGACAATTTAATATATTCTTCCCATAATAAGAAAACACTGTACCTCAGAAATGGTAAGGAAGAAAGGAGAAATGTAGTTGTAGTTTATTTTTTTTGTTCTGCTTATAACATTTGTGTAGGTTTATGTACCAGAAACACCCATAATTAATTTTTCGTCACCATTTTCCAACCTCTCTTTATCCCTTAGAATTGTTTTTGTTACTGCACCTTTACGACTGATATAAATAAAATGTAAAAAGTGTTCTTATTGGCTGCCCTGTAGTGTACCTTGTTCAAAAAACAGTCTGCGCTGAAACACTTAATGGTGGCTAAATAGGCAGATACAGTTGTATGCAAAAGTCTGGGTCAAATTACATGCTATGTTGATTTTGTAAGTGAAAATAAGTTACACATCCTCAACAGATACATAATAATCCAGATACAGATATCTGAATACACATTTAATTGTGCACAATTACTTTCTCTTCGCTAAATTTAACCAAACGCCCCTACGCAAAAGTTATGGCACATTTCATATTTTATGTTTGATTTTTCCCAAAATGTTAAACTCTGCAAGTAGTTTTTAAGTAGTCTTTAATTTTGTTCCCTGTAGCGGATGTGTAAACTTATTTTCTCTTAAAGCTTACAGCTGATTTAAATGGAAGAAAGAAAATCTATTATATGGGTCCTTTAATGTATTATATGTGAAATTTAGGTGGTGTTTTCAAATGGTATAAATGAAACAAATACAAAAACTGAAAAAATGGAGTAAAAAAATTGAGTTAATGGAGATTGTATTATGATCTGGAGCTAAGAGTATTATGCTTGGTTGGCCACCTCATCTCCTGCACATCTGCTGCGTTGAAGAGTTCAGTTGCAGCCAGTTAATCAAGCTTTTCTTAATAGCATCTGAATATTAGAGCCACGTGTGTTGTGACTACGTTCATCAAACCTCCAGAAAAGGGATTGAGCACCTCCAGTTAGTTACCGTATATAATGGAATGAAAAGTTAAATACAAATCGCCAAAATGTTCAGAGAACGTTGGACATAAAACTGGTTCTGTGCATTCATACAAAAATCGAGTATCTGTGCAACGTTACTTCCACAGATCAAGTGCAAATGTCAGCAGCCACTGTTTATTTGTGTTAGGTTTCTGGGGGGCAACAGCATCACTGTGGTTGAGGGTTTGGAGCAACTGAGCGAACTGAAGGAACTCCACATAGAGGGCCAGAGACTACCACAGGGAGAGAAGCTGATTTTTGACCCTCGTACCGTTCTTGCCCTTTCTGTAAGGACCTCAATGCAGCAAAAGACCACACTGGAGCCCTGCAGTCTCCCCTAATGTTTATGATGCCTAATATGTATCATGTCCTAATACTTAATCACCTATTTATATGTATCACCTATTTACACTAGCGTTCAAAAAGTTTGGAAGTTTTATATATTTTAAAAGTGTACTTATAAATGTTTTAGTGAACACTTCAGGAAGTTTTAAAGTTTTGAAATTGATTACATTATTATTGATTATGATTATTATTAATATACTGTATATTATTTATTTACAAACATTTTTGTCAGGTTATCTGCCTTAAGATTTGATCACCAGTTTTGTTATATGAGACAATCTGGATATTTATTTTAGTAGTAACCTTATTACTACTAATACAATATGGCTTTCATAGATGTTTTAGAATAATCTACAGCGACATTCATCATTCTGAACACGTTTACATTTTCTAAAATCTTTTTATATTATTGAAAACTGATTCCAACCATTTGAACAATGATTTTAAACCTTTGAACAGTAGTCTATATGTATGTATGTATTTACTTACCAACAACTTGCTGTAGAGAAACCTATATGTAGACAAGCCATCAGATATCCCAGATGTGTAATAAAGCCGTTTTTGTGTAAGCTTAGATGATAGTAAAAGAGGTCTCTGTGGCCACTTACTTCAACAGAAACTGTTTACTGCCTTGGTTTAAGGTAAACAAACTGCAAATTTAAGGATTTTGTTTATTTTGATAATTAATTAAATTGCAGCGAGGGTAGGAGCCTTCCATAAAGCTTTCCATTTAGTAGTACAGCATGTTCATTTATACATTACTAGATGAACTAATTTTTTGTTTAAAATACAAAAAAAAAAACTCTTACTGTTCTTTTCAGGGGTCGTTATGTGTTCTGAATATTAATAACAACAACATAGATGAAGTACATGATCTGGCGGTTCTTAACAAGATGACACATTTCTATGCTGTGGACAACCAGCTACAGGACATGCAGGTAAGATAGATGACTTTTTTATGTTTCAGAACTGACAGAATACAAGGAAGTCACTTAGCTATAATTGCAAAAAAAATATTGCACTGTTATGTTTGATAAAGATGAAATGATATGGAGAATGTGCTAAAAAAGCCTAATCCTGCAAATCCTGCCAGACATTCCCAGTCTAGAGTTGGACAGGGTCAGAATTATTCAACAAATCAATGGGCTAGTCTCCAGGGACCACCTTTGCTGACAGCTTAAACAAGCGCAAGTTTTCCTTCTTCCTCAGTAGACTTATTTTACTCCACATTATACAACTGATCCTCCATTTCGAACTGCAGCTTTGCGAATACACTTTCCTTTCAATATGGGTGCTACTAAAGGCCTAAATGTAGCCTTTTATGATGCCCGATTTCTTCAGGACAGGCTGTTTGATATGTGAAGGCTGACAGACTTGAAGAAACATGAAGTAGGTATAAAAACCTTGCTGCGCAGTCGCACCGTAACTTCTGCACACAGGCCAAAAGCCACCCCTTAGAGCCACTGCTGCAGGTAATTGCGATACATGTGTCAAAGGAAGCTTTCATGTTTAGCAGATATCTCCTTTAATTTATACAACCCCTTGGCCACTATTGATTCAGCAAAGACAGCACCAGAAGGGTCGATTCTTCCTTTTTTTGCGCAGTTCAGTGGGAATCCAGAGGAAACATTATGGATTTTTAAAAGAGATTATGACAAGCAGTCAGCCGAGTGACAAATGGGTATCTGCAGAGGCCGTTAGTGGCGCGTGGCCAGACGGCTGAGGACGGAGGATCGAAGTGCTGGTCAAATACAGGTTCATAACTGGCCATCATTAGTCCAGCACGGGGCTGGAGAGGACCCCAGTCAGGAGTGCATTCAGCACTCATGCGCATGGGAGAGCAATTTGGTGCTGGGCAGTTCCCAGCCAAGCCCTCTGAGTGACGGGCCTGACACGATCATTTATCAAAGCCTGCAAGCGCGCGGCTTGCCGGGGTCCCGCTAGAGTTGATTGCACGCGGACTGAAAAGTGGAAGCACTTTGGTTGAGACAGGAAGGCAATGAACAATCAGAGTCCAGTGTCCAGAGAGTGTTCATATTTCCAGGCTGGATTAATGTGTCTTTAGATAAACATACACTCTGGGCAACGTGCTGGAGGGCAGCTGCCCCAGGGAACTTGTTAGTCCGAGTGACAGTATTTATTAAAGCAAGCTGATGTTTTGTTTACGCCTTCAGCTTTCATACTAAGTAACTAAAGCTGTTCTGAGCTTTTTGAAAATGCAGATTTTTCACCCTAGTAGTGCAGATTTTAAAAAAATGAATTCTCTGCCTGAAAGAGATCTTACTAAGAGTACTAGGATGCTCTTCTTACTAAGAGTTTAGAATTTAAATACTCTCCTAAATTGGAAGCAATAACAGTGCAAAATAATGTTCCACTTTCAGGAGCTGGAAACAGTGTTCAGCCAATGGCCTCAACTTCACCGAATGGATTTGCGTGGAAATCCTGTGTGTCACAAACCCAAATACAGAGACAGACTAATAACTGTGTGCAGAAAGTTGGGTAAGAGCATGAAACTGCAGGTCACTGATTATACAGAGAATTTCTATTTTTAAGGAATAAATCAATTTTAAGTGTTAATGTTTAAATGTTTAAACAGTTTATACAGCACAGCTATTAAGTATATCATTCATTTTTTTCAGTGTTGTGGGGAAAAAGCAGAAAAAAGAAAGCTACACAGAAGTCTCAATAACTAAATATAATTTCATATTTGTCAGTATTTAGTGTGTCCGCCTTTTGCCTTTATTACAGAGTCAGTTCTTTTTCAGGAGACTTCTTCTCAGTTTTTTTTTAAGAAATCTGCAGGGATATTTTTCCACACCTCCAAAGTTCAGTCTTAGAAGTTTTTGCTTTTTTTTGTCTCTCACAATCCAAGTAATCCCAAACACATTCAGTGATGCTGAGGTCTGGCCTCTAGGATGACCAGTCCATTTTTCTGAGAACACCAGCAGCTTTAATTTCTAGATGTTCTTAGTGGCTTTTTAACAGCTACACATCCTTTCAGACCCATAGTGTTGAGTTGTCTTCTCACAGTGGAAGGATGGAGAGAAAACATCTCCACATCAGTGATTTTTTCAGATCTGAAGCAAGAGAGAAGCTTGATTTTCTCCTCTCTCTCAAAGATGAAAGCTTAAGCATTGTTTATTTGGTGGTGATAGTTCGGCGTTCTAAAAGGTCCTGCACAGTTGTAAGGAGTCCATTTTTCTTTAGATTTTTGAATAATTTTTTTATTATTTTTGAATAATTTTTCTCCTGTTTTGCAAACTACTTGTTTTTCATTTATTTTCCTATTAAAAATACTTTGACTGACTTTGGCCTTTACTTATGCAAATGTATTATATCTAATCTCAGAAATATCCCATAAAAAATGAATACCTTGTACTATATGGCCATTTTGGGTGGAAATTAAATCATTTAAGTGTGGGCTCTGACATTTGCACAGTACTGTATGTCTTTTAGACTTTACGTTCTTCTTAATTCATTATTGTAGCTCTTAAGTGACATTGTTCCATATTCGTTGTTTTTTAATGATATTGCTAAACTTTACTCTTTTCAAAATCTAGAGGACCTTGATGGGAAAGAAATAAACGAGTTATCGAGGCAATTTCTAATCAACTGGAAAGCCTCAAAAGAAGCCAAGAAGAAAGCAAGAAATGAACGATTCATAGCAGGAGAGATAACATATCCGTTTTCTGGTATGGTCATTAGTATATTACAACTCATTTATCACCTACTTCCCTGCTTTAAACACAACAACATGTACTAACGTCTCCAGACTGTAGGCAAATATAAAAGATTTCACTATATAACAGTAATACATAATTCTTAAGCAAACTCTATTTGCTTTCTATTCTGAAATACTACCTTTTTCTAAATAATTTTAAACATATGCAGTGGGTCCACTGCCATTATGTGTCATCAGCTTGTAACCAAACACACCCATGTCCCTCTGTGTCCTGTGGTTTGGGATCGCGACAAGATGTGACTCACTCTGTTTTCATTCTAGCTGACTTTCTCTTGGGCCCCCAGTATCCCTTTGCCCAGAACTATGCCGGCTTTCTGGGGAAGAGGAAGCCGCTGGAGTTTGGGAGACCCAGCATGAAAATGAGGTCAGACTCAGTGCGGACAGACTGCAGAGGAGCAAGGTATGAACAACAGCACGTTCTATCCCTCTGTTCTCTAGGCTCATATGATGCAGCCCCTAATTCCTGACATGACGGAGGGTTTATTTTCGTTTAAAGCAGGGTTGCCCACTTTTTGACTTTTTATCAAAGTGCAATGTTTGTGGTGGGCCAAAAAGAACAAAACAATATACAAATAAAGAAAGTAAATAGATTCTAACTTTTATAACATTATACTCTTTTTTGTTTATATATATATAGAGGGTTTATATATATATATATATAAAGAACTGAAAACATGTTTTTCAAAACACACTTATAACAGAAGCCAGTGGGCAGTTGCTTAAGCGCCAACTGGCTTTTCCTTATAAATAATATTATATAATGACATATTATAAATATGTCAACAGATTTTCTCATCTTTACTATTTTTTTAAGGAGGGTGTTCCATTTTTGACTTAATTTTACTTATAGACATATCCCCATGTAAGCTGTTATGTAATTTCTCCGCAAAATTGAGTCAAAGCTTGTACCTTGTACTCATATAAACAATCAACCTAAACATGCTTCAGTCTGTTTCCTTCCTCTCTGCTTGCTTGATAAATGGCCTGCTATTTGTCAAAAGCTACATCTCATAGATTTCTACCTTCCCATGCAAATAAACAGCTTTCTTTTTTACAACTAGCCTGAGGATAATCATCACTTCCCTAAGCTGCTGTATGTGGGGTCATAAGTTACAGTTTAGCTTTCGAAAATCGCCCCGTCCCCTGAGAGCATTCTCAGTAATTCACTGCTTCCAGAAGTGGACTGTACAGCTTGAATTCAGGCTTGAGTCGGGCCTTGTGCCATACTACGTTGGCAGTCTCTGAGGATGCTTCCCACCGCAGTCCCATTGGGAGGGAAGGATGGGAGGGTCCATCAGTGAGGCTGCATGGACGCCAGTTTGAAACGATGTCCTGACAGACCTCATAGAAATCAGATGAGGGATGTGCTGGCCTTTGGCATCCCAGATCGCATGCTGTCGTGTGACAGATCTGTTAAACTAAGAATGTCTAATATGAACTGAGAAAACAATTGAAAAATTGATTTACGAAGATGTGCTCTGAGTTCTCATTTTAAATCTAAATGTTAATAAGGTCATGTATTATAGTGTGACATTTGCTGGCAATGCACTTAAACTCAGTGTTTTCTTTTGTCAATTCAAGAATGACTATAAACAAAACACGTATTTGCACTCACTAATGTTGAATTAACAGCTCTGATTCAAAGGGGAATAATTTTGAATCACAGCTGTTTATGCATTTTATTACTTGCACAACATATCTAAAATTAGACACATGCTATCTACAAGATGTTGTGAAATTAGTATGCTTTCATAACTACTAGATTAGACTGCTGTACTGTGTCACTGGCCAGTTGCCCTGCTGTCTCTCTAAATCCACTCCAACTAGTTCAGAATGCAGCAGCCCACATGCTTACCAGGAAAATAAGGTTTGATCATACTACTATGGTCTTACTCAGTTTACACTGGCTTCCTGATAAGTTTAGCATGGACTACAAGATCTTGTTTATGACATATAAAGTTCTTAATGGCCTAACTCCAGCATATCTTACTGATGTGAAGTGCTTTAGCCTGTTCAGACCACTTCACTCTGCTGAGGCACACGTACTGCTTAGGATCACTCACAGCTCAGTTAGTGGAAGATCATTTTCTTATGTAGCTCCTAAACCCTGCAACAGCATTTCAGAGAATATTAAGAGTCTAAGCTAAATAGGTGTTAAATCAGGATTTATAAATCCTGATTAAAGACATTTTTGTTGAGGCCAGCACACAGTTGTATGCAAATGTTTGAGCACCCCTGGAAAATGTCATATTTATGTTTGCTACATGTAGAGAATATATTAAGTTATTTTCACTTAAAACATGTAATTTGACATGTTTTAAACTGGAATTGTTCATACTTTTGCATTCCCAGTACTGTAGGTTATTTTCTTATGTGGTCTGTTATTGTGGCATTATTTTTTTTATTTAGACAGTAATGTTTTTATCTTTCCAATGTTTTACATCATCATGTTTTACTTACTATTTTTTCTTTACACTGTGTAAAGATATATATATATATAGATAGATAGATAGATAGATAGATAGGTAGATAAAACTTAGTTCACTTAAGTTAAGCACTAAGTTAGTTTCATCAATTAATTTCTCTATTAGAATTGTGCCTTTTGGAGTCATTATATAACTGTGCTTTTTGTTGTTTACATGTCAAGAAGAGTGATGATTCCAGCAAGCGCACACCTAGCCACAGAAATGCAAGAGTCTTGAAAAATTCAGAGTCAAACGGCTCTGTGAGCGTCCACTCAGGGAGACTGTGTGGACTTCATAAAGGCAACTCCCCAGGCCCACACACACTGAAACACACGCGCATTTCGTCATGAGTGCATCTGGAACAGATCTGAGTGCTCTCAGTAAGACGAAGTCCATAGTTGCGGTCTGCTACTGTCATTATGTCACCGTGTTTCTGTAAATGTAGATGTTTCAGAGCTGTTTCACGCTGACAGCGCCCACTTTCATTCATATTTCGTTCCATGCACTCATATGCTGCCTGAATGATATCTTCCGAGACTATTTGATCAAATGATGTTTCTCAGATATTCCTGCATTTTATCAGATGAATTTGAGGGGTTTTTTGAGACGTTGAATGTTGAAGAATGCGATTCACATGTACAGCACTGTGCATAAGTCAGAGACCACCCTTCATATTTTTAATTTCAAGTCAATACAGCCATTAAGTATAAGTTATTCAGAATTTAATGTGTCCATGCTTTGCCTTTATTACAGCTTCCTTTACTTTTGGGAGGCTTGCTTTCAGTTTTCTAAAGAAATCTGCAGGGATGTTTTTCCACACCTCCAAAGTTCAGCCTTAGAAGTTGGTTGCATTTTCTGCTTCTCACAATCTGAGTAATCTTAAACATATTCAGTGTTGTTGAGGTCTGGACTCTGGGGTGGACAGTCCATTGTTCTGAGAATACTAGCAGCTTTGTATAATTTACAGATCATATTTTCTTTCCTCAGTAAGGGCTTCTTGACAGCTACATAGGTCCTTTCAGACCCATAGAGCTGAGTTGTCTTCTCACAGTGAAAGGATGGACAGAAGCACCTGTGGATGTTTTCAGATCTGAAGCAGCTTAATTTTCTCCTCTCTCTCAAAGATAAAAGCTTTAAGTGCTGTTTATCTGATGGGGACTGATTTTTTTTTCAGTTATTTTCCTCTGATTCTCCCTTCCTTATGCAAGTGGACTATTATATATCTAATCTCAGAAATATCTCCTGAAAATCATGGAATAATTTGTGCTTAATGGCTGTTTTGACTGGGAATTAAATAAATGAAGGGTGCTCTGTGACTTTTATGGAATTTTGAATACTTAACACCTGTGAGCTATGTGATGTTTATCTGCAGTCTAATAAATCGTGTTTTCACATTTTTTTTTCAATTTTGTTGGCAAATTGTTTTTTTGTGTGTTTGTGCTGTCTTTTGTAAGCAGCAAATACATGATCCACACCCTGTTCTAAATAAAGGATATTTCAGGCTTTTGTGTATTATCAGATGATTCTAAAATGACTTCATACAATTTTTTGCCCAAGATTATTATTATAGCTAATAATTTGATGACGATATTTGCTTATCTAATCAGCCACAGAGGCCTGCCATTTAAAAAAGGTAGTCCTTTTTTCAAATGCTGTCATTTTTTAATCTCTATGGAACATAGAGTTTAGCTAATAAAAGGTCAATGATATAATAATACAGGAACATTGTTCTGGTGACTGGACACTTTTGAGCTTTGTATCATCACCCTGAATAATATGTGAGGAACACACGCCGATGAAATACGTACGAGTTTCATTTGGACAGTGTAGCCTACAATAAGATACTTGCAGTAATAGCCAACATTGGCTATTGAGGGAGTTTTTATAACCACACCAGGGTATAGACCTAACGTGAAAGATGTGGAGTAATTAGGTAGAGAAGCTTACTTAACCTCTTTTGCTCCACTTCATAATTAGTAGCCTGGAGCGAAACTGTTACTTCATCCTTACAAAAACAATGTTTATTAAGAACAGTCTGAGATATACATGTTATGAATAATTCCATTCATTAATTCCATCTCTCGGCGTTGACTCTGGAAATCAGAGTGATTAATTTAGGAGTCTCGCAAGAATTTCCTCATACTTGCCTGTTGATTGCAGTGTTTAGAGTTTATTTATTGGCCGTGTCTCAGGAAATGAAGCTGCGCGTTGCTGTCTGCAGGTCAAAATATCATGGCCAATATCTTCACCCTTCGAACTACTTGGGTCCTGTTGTCCAGTAGCCCGTATCTCCAAGCCACCCTGGCAAAAGAACAGAAATTATGTGTTGGCAAATTTAACCTTACTGTAGTCAAAATATGGATTTCAGTTGATAAAATGTTTAGCTATACTCTTACTTGTGAGGAACATGCTCTGCTTCTTTCTTAAGTTCCATTATAGTCCTTTACATTTAGTTCCTAATTCCGTTTATTGGGTTTCACATCATTCAGCACCTGGACTGCTTTGCCATTGCTTACAGATCTTGCAAGTCACCATTTTATTTTAGACCAAAAAGCAAAGAAAATTGAACAAACTTCAGATGATGGATGCTGGATGTGCGAAGAAACTCCACTGCAGTTCTACAAGGAACTCTGTTCTTGAGGAGGTTTGGACCTCATTCTTTTAACTCAAGTTCTCCTTGAGTGATTATTTCATTGAAGTAACCAGACTTTTACTTCAGGATGGGCTTAGATTCTCTACCCACCTCTGAAGATAAGTTACGACCACTAGTTCCATTCACTACAATGTGATTTGAGACTATAATAATCTTTTATAATAATACTTTCTTTATTTATAGAGTACTTTCATACTTGTGGCTGCTCAAAGTGCTTTAGACAGGTAATAAAGCATGACAGTAAAAGAAGAAACCATGAGAATTAATTTTAAAATCATATAAGACAGCTATCCAACAAATATCCAACTTTAGTCAATAAGGGCAGGCTTAACTATCTCACAGTTCCATATTTTAGTCGTGCTTTGCTGCGCAGTGTGTTAGGAGCTCAAACTGGTCCAAAAACTGCTGCTTTCCACTTTCCCTCCTCAAATGAGTTAAAGGGGAAAGTGAGCGGAGCCCCTCTGGCTGCCACTGAGCTTTAAAGGCCCTTGATTAATTGCACCGGAGTGAAAGAGCTGTCAGCTCGTTGTTTTCCCAATAAATGAGAGGCTCCCGAGAGCTGCGCGCCGCTTCAAGGTGAGGCGCAGCTTTATATAGATTTTAATGCAGAGGGAGCGGAGCTGGTCACTCAGAGCGGAGAGCAGCGCGCGGTGGATGGCTGCATGTCCAGCGCAAAACTCCTCACACGCTTAGGCTGAAGGTAGGACTGCGCTTCTCCACTAAGAGAACTTTTCAACACTGGACTCAGTCTGTAAGGTTTGGATTTCACTTTTGCTCGAACTTGGGTTAAGCTTGGGGTCATAGTGTAGATGGAGGTGTCTGCTGGAACATTGCGTAAAGCTTGACGTACATAACGGTGGTTTATTATTTTCCATTTTTCCATCGTAATATACCGAGTCATTAATTAATTGCGATTGGTCGATTATATTACACGAAATCTATTTGACTTTCTATGAGGGTGGTGCATGTTTTGTTGCATGGTTGCTTTTAACATTGTGTTGTGTATGTTTTTTTTTTTTGCATTTTATTACACACTTAAAAAGATCTTCTTTTTCAAGGGTTCTATAGTAAAAGGAATGGTTCTGTTTAGCACCAAAAAGGGTTTTATTGTTACGATGTTAAACTTTTTGGTGCTATAAAGAACCATTTTCATAAAGGCTCTATATAGAACCACATCACACACATTCTCTATCAATCTGGAGAACCATTTCACAATGCAAAGAACTATTTAAGCACGAAAATGTTCCATATAGAACTTCTAAAGAGAACCGTTGCCTGTACCCGTCTTTTTTAAGTGTGTATGCTTCGACGTTGTGGCGGATTCACAATTTGTGCAGGAATATTTTGTATGGGCTCTTGAAGAATAAAGGATATAAGCTGCAGAACGACGTAGCTTATAAAGCTTATAAACAGTTCAAATAAAAACAGACAGGACTATTAAGGATATAAACTTACATCGGGCTATAAAAGTTAAAATAAAGTGCTTCAGGAAATGTTCTGAACACAAATAATACGAAGAAATTACGACAATTAGAATTTCATGTCAAATTTTATTAAGAAGCATACAGACTAGATGTTAATGTTAATGTTTATGCAGCTAACAGTCCAGCCTATAGCATTATACAACCAGCATGTATATATAGTATAGTTCAAAGTGAGTAAATTAAGTGGGAGAATTATTAGAAACACTTACAGCTTTCCAAAATCTTATCACTCAGCGTGACCATATAAATCACAAAACAGGCCCTGCGTCCAAAACCACACACTATGCGGTACCATAGGCTTCTAATAAACGTGCTACTAATGGTGGTCTACTATTATGGTCCACGTACTAAGTATGATAAGATCCTGTTTTGGACGCAGTCAGAGTTCAGTCCTTGCTGTAGTTCAACGTGTCCCCGCTGTGTTATTATGGTTCAGGTCCAGCGCTGATCCCGCATGGAGCCGCAGCCTGAGAGCCCGGCCTGCAGCCCCAGTCCCAGCTCGAGCCCGGACCCCTCTGACCGGCGGCGCGCCAGAGGTCTCACGGGCCCCGGGCTCGCGGGCAGGGGACGACCGGCCGCCGCCAACGCCGCGCGCGAGAGGAGCCGCGTGCAGACGCTCCGACACGCCTTCCTGGAGCTGCAGAGGACTTTACCGTCGGTGCCGCCGGACACCAAACTGTCCAAGCTGGACGTGCTGATTTTGGCCACAACGTACATCGCCCATCTGACCAGGACCTTGCAGGAGGAAGGGGAGGAGGAGGGGGACGCGGGCAAACACACGACCGAGGCGTTCAGGTCACTCAAAGGGGACGGTTACCTGCATCCTGTCAAAGTGAGTGCGACCGCAGTTCTGCGTTTAGTTGCGCATTGCTGTTTATATTCTGCGTTTCTGCTGCGTTCACATTTTGTGCACTGATATGTTAGCGTTGACATTTTGCACATTAATATTTTGCATGGTGTACTCGCGACGTATATCGAGCGTAAGCTATAGAAAATTCTTAAAGGAGTGTATAAAATATATGAGCCATGACAAATGACTCAGAAAATTCTTGGAAAGAAAATCAAGATTTTACTAAAAAAGAAAATAAAAGAATATATATATATATATATATATATATATATATATATATATATATATATATATATAAGCCAAATTTTGTCCTTCATTCAGTTTCATGCACTTGAGTACAGTCTGGGTGGATTTTCAAATATTAATGCTTTGCTGTTGCATGTACTAAAAACGGCTATACATATAATGTAAATGTACCCTCAAAGGTGCAACACTGTCCTTTAAAATGAGTTTTAAAATACAATAAATTCACTTTCCAGGGGAAATGTGTATATTTGTAGCTCTTTAAAAACAGAAAAAAATCAAGACCAGACAGGGTGAATGGAGTTAATGCAACTTAGCAGCGTAATAAAGCGCAATAAAGCTCCCTAATTAAAGCTACTGAAGATGTGCTTTTCAGGGAACCACCCAAGTGAAAGGGACACTTTTTCTCTGAGTGATGTTGGAGTTTTGCAGCTACTTGAGTCATCACTTATTTGCACACCTTTACTCATCTGCCCACATCTGATGACCACAAGGGAAACGATGGTTTTTTAAAATAATTTATTTCTGGATAATTGCTGAAAAGTAGAAAAACATTCGAATTGGTTCAATGTAGAGAAACTTAGAGACTTAGACTTCTTTACAGTGGTGATGATAGAAACCAGGGGTCAAACTGTCTACATGGTAAATATAGCCATTATATTTAATATCCAAGATGAGCAGTGATCCTACACGTGCCTCCTGAATTTTCATATGTAATGTTGTTAGTAAAATAGCGACAAATCTGAAAAAAAAAAATGTTTTCTTCGGGGACTATTTTGCCTTACAACACAAGGATGCGCTATATTTATTTAAAACTACATTTTAGGCCCAAATCTTTTCAAGTATTGTAAAACGACGTGTCAGACATCAGATCAACTTTCCATTTACTTCAGTTAAACTCTTCAGACGTCTGGTTCCTATCACCACCGTGAACAATCCTGACTTGGTAGCACATTTCACATCAAACCACTCTGAATGACTCTGTTGACATCTTAACCGTTCGTTTATCCAGAAGTTGTTATATAAAAGCGATGCAGTTTAAGGTCCTTTAAGGTCTTCGCTCCTCACCGTTTTGATTCTGTTTTGCAGAAATGGCCCATGCGCTCCAGGCTCTACATCGGTGCCACCGGCCAGTTCCTGAGCAACTCGGGCCACAGTGAAAATCAAGGAGCGTCTTCATCATCTCAGACATAAAAACCATTTGCACATGAGACTTTATGGAAGCAACGACACAAATGAAGGCTTAAATTATTATTACAGATTATCTGCGAAGGCAAAAACGCACGGGCCACCTGGACTGGAGACGTTCACGATCAGCTTACAGCTCTTCAAACGGAACCGATTCTCAGTCTGAAGATGAACGCAAGCTGTCAGTCATTTCTTTTCTTTTTCATTCTTTCACCAGTTTCAGAACCACTCGAACCGAACAGGACTGAGTGGCGTTCTGCTTTGCTGACTGTGTTCCAGCACACGGACATGCACAGGAAATCTAAAAGCCTAATTATTTCACGTTTGTAAATAAGATTTCTGACGTATTTTTGTTTTCTTACTGAAACAGATGTCCCTGCTCGAAGTCTCGGTGTCTTGTTGGAGGTCTTGCTGTGTAGCTAAACCGTGTTTTTTGTTCTAATGAGCTGTCATGCTTGACTTGTTGGCTGTGCACTTTCGGTTCAAATATTTGCACTAAATGCATGTGTGTGAACAGCATCACATCCGTCATGTGAAGTGGTCTGTCAGAGTCTGGACAATAGCAGGTCCAGTGGAAGCCCAGCTTCTTCGGCTTTTATTCCTCCTCCTTTCTTCCTCTATTCTTTCCCCACACACGTCTGTGGTCGTCGGTGTATTTGTGGATTGTAAAGTGAGAAAAATAAAGAAAGATACAAAAAAAAAAATTTGAATTTGTTTGTTAAAACCTCAACATTTTTAACGTTTGTTAAACATATTTAATGGTTTCTAGTTCATTACGTAAAAAAATCAAATAACAAAATAATAATAAAAGAATACTACATACACCACGTGTCTAATGACTGACTAAACAAAATTAGAAGAGGTCTTAAAATTATATCAAAGCTGCCTTTATTCATTTTTTCATTTCCACGTCAGGAAAAAAAAAAAAAACGTTTTAATGTATTAAAACACCTCAAGTTATATTGGAAATATGGGCTCATATAAAGGCACACTGGCTTTACAAACCACAGCCAGGTTTTAAGACTGCTTAATTTCTTTTAAGCCTGTTTGAGAATGGAAAACAATAAATGCTGTTTAATAAATGATCATCTGGATAGTTTGTGCATGGTTAGGTCTAGGCTTATTTGGCTTATATCTAAGGATGAAAAGGATAAAGGTTTAAACAGTCTGACTGATTTCTGTTTTCAGCTTTTCATATGTAGTATTTAAAAATGTGGGGTGTCTACACTGTTAGAAAAAAAGGAACAGTGTAAATGTACCCCCAAAGATACAACATGGTTCTTAGGGTCCATTTGTGTACCTTAAATGAATTTTAAGGGTAAAGATGTGCACAAAAATAAGGTGTCCCTGGAAAAATGATGTTTCGTTGATTCTCCAATTAATATAAGTAAACTCATCCTGGAAAGGGAACACATTTCTGCATATTTTAAAGCACAATTACTGTTTATTTGTTGAACTTAACAGACCGGGGGAAAATGAAACATAAACATTATTTATGTTTCTGTCTTTTCCAATGTGTTAAATTCTTAAAACACCTAATTTGACAGGGGTGTTAAAACTTAGGCGTATGACTGTACACTACATTTACTTTCCCAGGTGAAATGTGCATATGTGTATTTTTCATAACTTAAAGTAGTAAAATAAAATAAAAAGCCTGGAGGTAAAACAGTGTGTATGGAGTCAGTATAACTTAAAAATATAACTGCAATAGAGGATGCAGCTATTTTCCCGAACTAAAGGTACTGATGATGTACCCTTCAGGGTACCACGGTGACAGTGTTTGTATCTTACTAGGTACAATATTTTTTTTCTAAGCGAGTGCAGGGTAGTCTCTGCAATGAAGTACAGGTAAATGTATTTATTTATATTTCTGGACTAGGTGCATGTAGTAGACAGCACCGCATACTACTGTCAGAGTCTTAAACAGGAAAAGGTAAACTTTCAGCATATGTCTAGCAATAAAAGTCATGTATGTATAGCATCCATGTGTGTGTGTGTGTATATATATATACACACACACACACACACACTAACATTAAGGAAAAGCCTTTAATTACTTGCTTGATTTACGAGAATAAATAAATAGCCCGATATTATTGGCTGCTTGTGGGCTCTTTATTCCCACAATCATTCTGCAGTCTCCACTGTCGGTCATGGATAATTAGATAGCTATATAAATATGAACATACAAATACATAAACAAAAAAAAAACCTTTTGCATTGCATAAAGCCTCACAAATAACATTTTACGTTTTGTCTTTATCATGGATTAAAAGTGTCTGATTGGCATTGTTTAGCATACAGGCTACGCCTCGGTATGTGAGTTCAAACGAGCGTAGACACTCATACAAATTCTAACATCTGGAAAGAAAAGTGTTTTCGTGACTTTTATACAGACTCTGCACTGCGCATGAGCACATGTGGAGCGGGCGCCGCGTTGATGTGATGAATCGCGCGTGCGCACCATCCTTTTTCCTCAAGCATGGGCGCGTGGACGGAGAAATTTTTGGGAGCTCCGAATCTCCAAAGCAGATTTGCTTGCCGATGTAATCCCGCCTGCTCAGGTAAAATGGATTTCAGTAGATTATATCATGACATTAACACGAGATTAATCGATGCTGAGCGCTTTTTATTATTATCAAGATGCATCGGCTAAACGAGAGCGCGTCTGAGCAAGAGCCGCTACAGAGAAACAAAGTAGCGCACTTAGTATCTAACCTACTAACGTAAACTCGTTTGTTTAAATCGATTCTTAGGTATTCCTTTAGAAATAGCTCCCTGATAGCAAGAAAACCTATCCAACTGGGTATCTTGTGTCTTTTGTGCCGAGTCATGAGCACGTGGTGGCCACGTTTCCCTTTCAGCCTTTTACGTTCTCAAAGGCTTCGGCCCAACTGCCGTTAAACCTTAGCCAGCTATATATCCACCAGGACTTCCGATCAGATCGTGATTCATCTAACCGTGGAGTCATTCATGTTGCTACCAAAATTCAAGCTAGAAACATAGGTTGATTAGGGGGCGATTCTAGGTTTAGAGCTTTAGGGGTGCTGAGCACTCAATGAGACCAGCACCCCCCTCCCCCTTGGTTTATCATATCTTCTATCATTCTATAATATTAATTAGCTGTTATACATACAGACAGTACAGGTCTAGCACCTTGGCTTTAATATCAACACACAGGCCTACCAATGGCACAACAGCTAGCTTCTCTCATTCAATTCAAACAGTGGACAATTTTTGATGGACAACCTGCAACATTAGCTTGCTAGACAAAAAAAAAAGCAAAAAAACAGATAACATAGTGATCTGTGATTCAGCAAAAATGAGGACTGCTGCTAATAACTGTAATGTGTTGGTGCTGAGTGATCAGAAATCCTCGTCTGCTGTACTTACTGGAGCCACCACACCACACAGTCACACTGTAACTGGCTCTAGTGTGAGCGCGTGCTCAGCACAGCTACTGCATGGCTTTGAGAGGAGTAGGAGAGAGAAAGTGGATCATAACATTGGCTTATCAGAAAAAAAAAATAAAAAACAAAACTACTTTTTACTCTTATTTTTATTAGTGCTTGAGCACCCCTAAAACGGGGCTAGACACACCTATGGGCTGAATCTCAAATGGCCCCCTGCGTCCTACATAGTGCACTGCATAGACCATGCAACTATGGCTTCTGTGCCCAAATAGTGTTCTAAATGTTATACAGGGAGTCATACAGCTAATGGTTGGATATGAATGGCTGTCTATTCGAAATACTGTTTGGATGAAGTCCTTATTTCATGACCTACATAGTGCACTACATAGGGAGTAGGGAGCCATTTGAGATTCCACTGGTTTGGGAGAGTGAGACTTTGTTACCTCATTTAAAAACATTTCACATATCAGCTAATGACTAAGGTCTTAATTTTGGTTATAAGAGGAAAATGCTCATCCCATTTGGGCTGTGGCCTTCCAGGAGCTGAGATTGGGCTAGTTGTCTGGCCTAGCAACTTGCGAACCAGTCCTTTCTGGTGTAAAGGGATGATGGTTGATTTTAAATAACGCGAGATATGCAGCATATGACCTAAATGTTCTGGAGTGGTGCTGGATGTTTGCAAACCTTAATGATCAAACAGTACAGTTGCATTAGATCGCATAATTAATAGAATGTCAGTTTCCCACAAAGCATATTCACATTTTTGCACCAGTATCACAGTCTCACAATGCATTGTAAAACCGCTATAAAACAGGGTTGTTTTTCAAAAAGAATACTCACTCAGTCGGGCAATTAATAAGGCGAGTTACAAGCTTTGAGCTGTTGAGTGGAAAAGTTATGTGGATGTTATTCATCCTTATTGGTGTCTAGTTTGCTGTTTTACAGTGAATTGTGAGGGGAAATCTCTTTGTGTGGCCACCATTTTCCCTGTTTCTCTCAGTAATACTGTAGCCTATATGAACCAAATTTGTGCAGTGGATGACCTGTTATTTATGAATATCAAATAATATTGTAATTATGACCTAACCTGTTCAACAGGCAGCTTTAAATGTCCTTGCAGTATGGTTATAAATCATGCTGGCAGTTGGGTGTCCCACATACATTGATAAATTGCCCCTTTGCTATTTGCACTGCTGTTGGTCAGACTGTCCACTGGCTATGTCCAGGCACATGTCCCTTGTGAGGCCAAGTTGGTTTAGGAATGGTGTTCACATGACCTACGTTGGGGAAATTATGAATTTTTAGCCCTCTCAGAGGGGCTGCAGTCTTGGTAGAGGTCCTGACCTTGAGTTAAACTAGCCTTGGTAAGGCCTTTGTGCTGGTGTGGGGAGCTGTGCTTTCAAGCTGTGTTACATGTGCCCTTTGGCCTTTAGTTCATCAGTCAACTTTTGAAGTGGAATCAGGTTCACTTATCGATTGTTCCCTCAGCGCTGCTTATGTGAAGCAGTATAAAATCAATAGTTTTAACACAAAAGTGCTAATTAGTCAGTCATTTTTGAAGTGTAAAAAAGCAGATGGCTCAATCCCAGGTTTGAAGAAAGGGGGAAAAGCAGACCATTAAAGTATTTCGGTAGCAGTGATTCTGTTATAGCTGTGATGATTTTCACATTTTTGCCGTTTACCCATCTGACCAGACTGGGTTGCTGATATTGTGATTATCTGAGTATTCAATGGCAGAATCACTCGTGCCCTAGTACCGCATGGGGGTAACAGATGAGGGACATGTACTTAAAATTACTTTTTCTTTTTTCCTCAGAAATGAAGTTGGCTTTTGGTAAAGGATGACCTGAACGCAGCTGTCTGAGGACATGGTAAATCAGCTTAAAAAAATTGTTAAAATTGTGGCCATGAGATGCTGTACACATGATGATTGTCACGTTTTTGCCGTTTACCCGTCAGACCAGATTGGGTTGTTGATACTGTGACTATCTGAAAAGTCAGCTTGTGGTCATGTATCTCAAACAGAACAGATTCAAAGTGTTGTAAATCTCAGATCAGATTTATTTCCTGTGATGTTTTACCATCACAAACCTGATCATATCAGCACTCTTACTGAACTTTGACCATTCGTGTATGAATTTACTCCTTGCATGTCATCAGTTCAGACTTTTGAATTTTTCCCCTCTCTGCAGTTCCCAGTTGAGGGTGAAGGAAAAGATTTAAACTGGCTGTGATTCACACTGCATCACTAAGGTGAGGAGAAACCTTTTTAGTTGCACATACTGTCTTACACACACTGTAGATATGTACTGACTATGATGATTTTCACGTTTTTGCCGTTTACCCATCTGACCATACTGGATTGTTGATACTGTGATTATCTGAGCTTTCAAAACAGTAGAGGAGTTTCTTTTATAATGCTGTCTAGTTAAATAAAGCTTTAACTGTATCTCTTTTCTTCCCCCTTTCCCCAGTGAAAGGCATGACCATGACAGTATGATTGCTGTGACCAGTGGTAAGTCACCTTTCTCATTTGTTTGAAAAAGTCTACTACTGGTCATTATGAAGTATTTTAGTGGCAGTGATTGTTACAGCTGCTATGATGATTTTCACGTTTTTGCCGTTTACCCGTCTGACCAGATTGGGTTGCTGATGCTGTGACTATCTGAGCAATTAATGGCAGAATCATTCTACTCCTAATGTGAGTCAGTGATGAGGCATGTGTACTTTAAATGCTGATTTGTGTCTTTTGTTCTCAGAAATGAAAGTGGCTTTGGAACAGGATGCCCTGAGCATGGTTGTCTAAGGACATGGTAAATCAGATTACAACATTTACACAAGTGTGGCTGAAAGATGTATGGCCCCATGACAAATAAGACAAATTCTCAGATCTCATTTGTTTGGAATAGTCATGAATAAGTTAAATACATTTATAAGCAGGAATTCTGAATCTGATCATATAATCCGAAAATAAGTGCTTCTGTGCAAGTTTTTCATATTGATGGAACATCGTCATGTTTAATGTGTTAATACGGTGTTGAACTGAATGTAATATTGCATTTGGTTTCCTTTTAGTCCTCTGTAAATCATAAGCTCATGAGAGTGCTTTTAAAATGTGTAAGTATGTGGGCTAGCTGGTTACCTTGAATTAACGGTGTACCCTACTCCTCCATGATGTAGGTTGCAGCTCCTGGTGCGTAGGTGTACACAAAGTGCAAGATCTGCTGGTGAAACTCTTCCAAGGTCAGGTCTCGTCTGCGCAAGGAGTCCAGGTCACACAGATCACAAGGAAACACGGCATCGGGCGGAATAACAAGCGCTGAGGCCCCTGCGTTCCCAAGACAGATTCTCAAGAACATGTATTAAGAGCTTGATTTTGCCCTTTGAAACAGAGGGTGAGCTATTAGCGAAGTGCTTAAATGTGAGAAGAATGCTACATTTGTTGTAATGTTCAAACATATTTATGAAATAAATGTGACTTCCACTTTGTTTATTCTCTATTCTTATTTGCTATCACAAAATGGTTTTGTAACCTGCTTAGAACTAAATTCTGCTTCTGCTCAACCTTCGACCTGTCTAGTGAATTGACAGGAAAAATATGTAAATAAGCTCCAAAAAGGGTGCTTGAGATACTAACAAGCTAAGGCTAATGCTGCAACATTTTTCAGTGAATAAGTTACTAGTGGGTTATTTGCAGATCTAAAACCCTGTCTGTCTGGAAAAGTAAAGAAAAGCTTACCATGTTTAAGGGTGATTGAGTTTTCACAAAGCAGCACTGCAATAACTGCATCCTCTTCCAAAACACGTGTCCTCAAATTAAGCTTAGCATGGGCTTGAGCAAGAGCAATCCTGGTAAAATCAATAGGTGGATATATTTGGTATTTAGATGCAATTTCCAGTACAAATAATGACATGCTGAATCTCTTGGTGAGTACGTGGTTTTCAATATGACTAGCACAAGAATAAATGACATGTTTGTCTTGTAGCTGTTACACCACATATGTGAGCAAGACGTATTCTTTAATGTGTTATACCCTTTTGAAAGGCTACACAGATTCTGGAAAGATTTTTTTTTAAACATTTTGCTCAGGAAATTTTTTTCTTAGTGCTTTCTCATAAAGTGGAATTGAACAGATTTTTAAAATTTCTGCATTATTAAATTGTTAGAATGTAAGGCTAAACATTAATGCCTCTAAAAACTATCCCCCAGAAATGTATTATACAAAAAGGTACCGAACATGTTTTGAGAGGGTTTTGCCTTAAAATGTATTTCTAAAACACTCCGAGGGCAAAATAGTACCCAAATGAAACTTTTTTTTGATTCATCACTTTTAAAATTATACATGTACTTTGTAGGAACTGGTTCCTTTCACCTTCAGTGTGAAGAAATCAGTAAGTTTATCTACACTGAATCATTTCACATCAAACCACTCTGCGCCAGTGCATCTGAATTATGCAGAATTTGTGAAAAATCTGTAATTCCCCTTTAATTGAGGGTAGGGACAAACTAAAGGACAAATGTTGTATGACTACCATCTTGTGGTCAACTAAAGTACTGTGTTGAGTACTTACTTGGTGTAGAAGTGTCACTGAACACTTCTACACCACAGTTTAGTGTTTCCTGCACAATAGAGCTTAAGTCAACTCCTCCATTAACTACCATACACTTTTAGAGTGGAATCAGGAGCGTAGTGTGTATAGCAGAATAAACAAAAAATGTGCAATGTAACACCCCAAAACAGGGACCAAACAGCACTGCGCTCCAGTACTCAGTTCACACATTAACACAGTTTAATATTTTCCCTGCTTAAATTGTCTGCTTAAACAGTACCTTCAGGCAGAGTTACTTTTGGCCTATGCTTACATCAGTTTGATGAAGGTGACGGATACTGAGGAGACTTTGGAAAAATCTGAGCGAACCCTCCGACTGGCCATGTAGTAGCCATGGATCATCTTCTCGGCCTCAGGGCTCATGTCTACTTTCAGGCCCCGTGCATAAGCCAGTAGCTATGGAAGAGAGTATGAAAGTGGTATCGAAGTCTTGAACTGATGCACTACATTTAAGAAGTCCACACAGTATGTGTCACTGGTTGGGCATTGTCACAATACTGGTCCTTACAAAACTGACATTGCAGAAGGCTGAACTATGCACATAAGCCCTCTAATCACATTTTTTACTCTGTGCTATGAGCAGTTTGTCCAGATAGATGTTTCTGTGAGTGTTTTGATGAATCAGGGTATTCATGTAATTCAGCAAAAGTAAATGATTTTGTTAAGATACAGGCCAATCTCTAGCCTCTGTTTGATTCAACAATGCGTTTTAATAAACTACAGTTTAGCTCTATCATAACTGTAACATAGCATTATAATTGCACTATTACTTGGTGTATATTATGCAGTTCTACTGTACAGACAAAATTATGTTAACTTGAACATGGGTTTTTATTAAATACAGTTAATAATGTATTACTGAATTTACGAACAGACTGTAAGAAATGTTTTGACTGGAAATTCAATCATTGAAATAGCTGTGGATGGTTTTTGTGGATTAACCTCTTTGTAGTCCTGTGTGGTAAACTGCATACAAGCAGGGTAAAGGGGCTCTCCTGGTGAGACGGCCTGCCTCAGGGTGTGCACAGTAATAGGAAGGAGTGGGTGGTGACCTATTGCCTCACGACACTGGATCACAAGTCCAAATGCCTCTGCAACTTGTGGGGGTACTGGACCCATCTCCTGCAGTAAGATATATAAAATTCAGTGTGAATATTTCAATGAGTAATATTTGTAAGCTTACCAGGCAGGGTAGTAAAATATTGGTACATTGAAGTTGTATTTCTGTTTTTGTTAACAGAGCAACTGAGACTCTAGCGGCTAGCGGCACATGAGGGCGCAACTAGGAACTTCTCCAGGAAAGATATAATTGTCTCTGTTTCCTGTTACTAAATATATACAAAGGTGGGGTTGCCTTCTAACTGCTGCAGCATTCTTTGAGGATTACCTCTTCTTTGGCAACAAATGTCATCTGCAGAACCTTGGTACTGCAAAGTCTTGAGTACAGTCCTGCACAGTACTGCATAGTCTTGATACAGGAAATACCTCTCAAAAATAGAGCCACAGATTGATGTTTAAGGAAGGGAGGGTCATGGACTTCCAACACATCCTGTGCTCTCACTTGTACAAGCTCAACAAGCAGCTTGTCAGAGCATAATCAATTAAATAAGAGTCTAAGCTTAGAAGAAAACATCCATAATTGCTCTATGTAATCTGACTAGATGTTCAATGTAATAATGAATTATACAACAAATTATAACATTTAGAGTTACATTTTCCACTAATTATAAATGCTAAAGTATTCACAGAAACTTCTGACCCATGTGGAACTGGCTACATACTATGAAAATGAATATCAGAGATTTGTAACTGAGCCTTTAATTTCAAAGGTATCTCATTTCTAAAGTATGCAAGTTGCATTTGAAATAAGTGGCAATCACAAAGGAAGGATTGATTCTGTTTGTACAGAGCCCAAGTCCAGGAAATACTAATTAGCCAGGAAATTGAACCTAGTTGCTGGCTAATTATAACAGTAATTTGAATTTTATCCTACAATGAGGTCATATCACTGCTGTTGGGTAACACTAAACAAGCATGTTTGATATTGATATGAGACAGTGTGAACCCACCACAGAGCCAAGCACTACACTGTCAGGCTTGATAGGCTTCCTGGAAGGAGCTGCTGCATCAGCCAGTGCCCAGAAGTTACACTGGACGGAGAAGGAGAGTTGCTGATCAGCATCTTCCCCATACTTCTTTCCTGGGATGAAGACAGACACTGATCTGCTTTCCAACACTGAGGAAACAGGGCCACAATGAACTGTGACAAAAGAAAGGCAGGGCAAGCACTAGACTTTTCCTCTGTTGGCCATAATGTTATAAATTGCCTGATAAGTGCTTTATTGGTAATAATGTTATGAATTAACTTGGCATGTGCTCTGTTGGTAATAATGTGATATACTAACTTGCAGAGTCCTCTTTTGGTAACAGTGTTATAAGCTGGCACTTCTCTTGACATCGTACCTGACTGGAGTGTGTCCATCCTGTCTCTCTTGTAGCACGTTAAGTCTCCCAGCAGGCAGACACCTCCACTGGCCAGCAATGAAGAACCAGCATGGATGTTGGCTGTTCCTGCTCCATGCTCATCTCTGGACAGGGAAGCAAACAGCTCTCCAGTAACCGGATGACGAATACCCCGGCCAGCCAGACCCAGACTGTATGTCATCAACCTTGCAATAAATCCACACAAAGAATGAGTATGACATAATGTGGTGAATCTGTTATCTCGTTTTTAATTAAATAGTCAATGAACAGAGTACATGTTTATGTAATTCTGTGGAAAATGTTGTTCAAGTGAAACAGTCTATATCACCTTATCACCAGACAAGAAAAAGATACGCATATTAACTGATATTTAATGCTTATGTGATTAGTTATCAGAGAAATGTATGTCTTGAAAAATAATAAAAAAGCTAGTTCAATGTTTCCATTCTGCATTACAGTGGCCAGCTGAAGTTTCCCTCCAGGACTCTGACTGCTAGTCGAATTTGCAATACTGCATTTTGATTGGCTAGTCAAATTTAACAGGGAACTTTATGTCCGCTAAGAATAGAGTCTGGCTGAGTGTCCAAGGGGGGGTTGATTAATGTTCTGGTGGTATTACTATTGTTTCACTTGGAAAGATTACATGTGTTACTTGATTTGTGATACCTATCAATGATGAGTGTGTCGCTGGTGAGTGCAAGAACATCCAGATGGTTGTGTGCATCTGGGTTCGCACCCTCAGTCTGCACCAGGCTGAGAAGCAGCACCAGCTTCAGCGTGCTGTACAGGCCAGGCGGGAGTACTGCAGATCCAAAGGAATTGGCTATAATGGCAGAGAATCTCCATGGAGAACAAGCTGAGGCAGCAAGCAGGGCCTGGAAGTTGTCACTGATCAGGCAAGGGTCTGTGTGTTGGGGGAAGGGCGACAGTGTAAGATCAGTGACTTTGACACTGTTTAAATGCGGAGATGTGTTATTCTTTTACCCAAGTCAAAGAAAAGCCTCACGTTCAAGCTTGACTGCTTGAACACTGCAGGCCTCTATGCTCCAAGTAACATTGGGACACTGGTGTACATGAGCTGGTATCCCCACCACTCGATAGACCAGGCCAATTTTCATAGAGTTGCAAAGTTCATCTGACAACAAAAAACAAAACAATAATAGACTTGGGTTGTTTCTTGCTTAAAATGGAATACATGCCGCCTATGCAGATCCCAGGAACACTGGGTCTTATTAACAGTACATACACACTAATTTGCGCTTATACCTTTCATACGCACATTCATAGGCAAAAGCTGGGATTCATCAATAACATTACCCAAATTTGTTCTTACTGTACAAAAGAATTTAGACTTGCCTCAGAGCTGAAGTAACTAACTTAAATGTGTCCAATCCATAAACAAAACAAACAAAATGGGCTTTTATTATATTTCCATGATATCAATGCTTAGAACTCCACATAATACATAAAATGAATATATATGTATATGTATATATATATATATATATATATATATATATACATATATATCAAGGGCTTGTCGGACAGGATGTGTAAGATTGTAAGGTTGTAAACTGAAAATCCATATTAATATTAAAAATTACATAAAATCACCATATGAACATGGCAGGTTTAAAAATATAACTTTCTAAGGCTGGCGGTGCATTTTTATATGTGGTCTGAGGCAATTCTAAATTCTTTTGGACAGTAAAAACAAATTCAAGTAATAAAAAGTAAATCCCAACTTTGAATGATATGTCTTTAAATCCACATGTTTTACTTTCTGTGCAACCAGATAATAATGTGCCATATTATTACCACTCTATTTAGTAATTGGACTAGGTCAACAAAATATACCAATAAAGACCAAGGACATTTACCTTATCCATTATTAGAGGGCACAGGAAATAAACACAGGAAATAAATAATATCTCATAGAGGGGAGTGTTATATACCTCTCAAGAACAGAGTGACGGATTGAAATCTCAGGGAGGAAGGGTCATGGACTCCTAACACATCCAGTGCTCTCATATGCACAAGCTCCACCAGCTGCTTACCTGAGTGTAATCAATACAATAAGAATGAGATGCAAAAGAAAATTTACACTGGCTTTAATTCCAAAGCTCTGCATGGCTTCGGAGTTATTATTATGTGATATATAAGGTCTCTTTAATTTCATGAATGAGATGAACCCAACTTCAACTATTTCAGTTAAGAAATGCTGCTTATGCTTTAGCCATGTAAAGGGTGGTCAAGCACCATATTCCAAAGTGTTCTTATTCATTTGGTTCTCACCCCCCAATACACGAGACTTCACATCCTCTCTGAGCGGTGAGGAGCAGAGAAAGCAGAAGAAGTCACTCCTGACGGTTGCAGACTCTGTGCTCCCTGGGGCATGTACTCTAATGTGGTGGAAACCTGGTGGCAAAGTGAGAACAGCTATGGCTGGAGACAGTGGCAGTAGCACAAAAACATACTACGAAGAATGTATGAAAGGTTACCCCTGGAGCAAGGACATTTTTCTTCTGTGCAGAGAAATCTGGCCCCTTGGGTGTATTTAGTGACGCGAGTCATGGCGATTACAAGGCCCACCATTTCCAGAGGCCTCAGTGGACCATACCCACGGGGGAACTCGGATAAGTCCAGAAAGTACCGTGGAAATGGTGGCATGTGTGTTGGCTTCAAAACAACATTAACCTCAAGAGGCCAAAAAGTACATGATGATGAAATAATACATTTATGGTCACAACTCTTGATGCAAGTACACAGGGATAAATGCTTACCTGGTTTTCTGTAATTGTATGCTCAATCAGTGACAGTGCCTTTATAGACAGATAACAAACCTGTGAAACAGTAAATGCATCTTATAAAGCCAAATCACAAAAAGAGGATTAAAGAGTGGTTTAGAGTGAAGAGTCTGGTGTGAAAAGTGAAGAGTGTGACTTCAGGGAAATCTACACTGCAGACTTCAGAGAAATCTACAGAGTTATAATTACTCACAGTGGTGATGATGGGAACCAGACGTCTGAAGCATTTAATGCCTTGAAAACACCTCAGGAAGCTACCACATGCAATGCTTATGAATGCACTGCCTGATGCCTGAGGCACTGTTTTATGACAGTTATGACAAAGGTTTTGGCATAAAATGTATTTTTTTAAATTCCATTCTTAGTGGAGAGGTCCATGCAAGGCATTGTAAGACAAAACAGTACCCAAAGAAGACTTATTTTTTAATTTATCACTATTAATATCATTATCGATAAATACTATTATTAGTACCATTATTAATATTACACATAAATACATCATAACTCCTGGATCCTATCACCAGTGTAATGAAAATCCCAGCTGGTAAGTTACTCTACAAATAAAACCACTCTGAATTACTTTCCATCTCATTGTATAATTATGTAAAAAAAAATTAAACAATCTGTGGAATTTCCCTTTTAAGAAAAGTCATCACATCCCCTATGGAGTCTTCCTGTCTGAAACTTACAGACTGAAAAAGTGAAGTTGCTTTGAGAGGGTCATGTAAAATGCAATCTCCCAGCCTGGCATCCAGTTCAACCACATCAGTGGGATTCACATCAAAACAGAAGCGATATACCGCTTCCATCTGTTGTGGTTCTGAAAAATAATTCAACAAGACGTGTTTTTGTCATCTTTACAAAAACATGTACACTAAGTTAAAGGGAAATCACACTTTTTCTAAATTTCTGAATAACTCAGTCTTTGAGATGTAAACAGAGTCATTCAGAGTGGTCTGATGTGAAATATTTTATTGCAGAGAAACTGACTCAGATTTCTTTACAGTGGTGGTGATAGGAACCAGGGGTCACCATATCTACAACACTAGTACAGCCATTTTATTTACTATCCAAAACCACGAGTGAACCTACATGCATCATCTGAGTTTTTATATGTAATGTTGGTGATGGTGAAATATATCATAAATCTGAAAAAAAAATAAGCTTTCTTAAGGGACTACTTTATCTTACAATGACTGAAATGTATCTTAAGCCATAACCTCATCACAAAACTATAATGAAATGATGTATCAGGCGTCAGGCACCTCATGTAGTTAATAACTTTATATAGGGGAGCTTTTAGAGTCATTAAGCTCTTTAGACGTCTGGTTCCTATCACCACCACTGCGAGCAATTCTGACTCGGCAAGTTTCTCTAGAACGGAGCATTTCACACCAAACCACTTTGAATAACTTTGTTTACACGTCAAACATTTAATTCTGTAGAATTTTTGGACCTAAGTGTGATATATATGTTCTGATACTAGTTATTAATGCTACTCAATAACCGTACACCAAATATCCAATAACAATAAAGAGCGCGGTAGCTTAGCTAACGCTAAATCACTGACTGACTGAAATGCCGTCGCAAAATCCGTTTCTTTGCACTTTTGGACTCAAGGTTACTTTGTGACTTTTTCTGATAAATACATATAAATATATGTTTAAATGTATTCATAATTATCTAAACTTGTTTTTGTTGTTGCCAAGCCTTTTAGAAAACGACGTTAGAGACGTTAGCTAGCTAGCGTCGTTACCCTGACAAGAGCCGTTGTGCTAAGCTAACTAGCGAGCTTTACAGATCGGCCACTATTTAGAAAGAAAAAGCGACCAGTGTTGCTGTCTAGACCAACCTCTGAAAGAGCTGCAGGCCTTAATAAGTTTATTCAGTCCTCCACTCCTATCCAAGTATATTATAATCGATTCTTTCAGAGACAGAAGGTCCTCCATTTTCAGTTCATCAATAACCGCAAGTTAGCTAAACTAACTACCTCAGACTCCGCGAACTCTGCTGCACCGCGCGCACATCGGCAGTTTGTGATGTCAGTACTATTAATGTCTGTGTGCAGTGCAGTGATAGAAGATGCTTCTGGAGTCGACTCCACTTTTTAAAACCAAGACGGCTCCATAGTCTGTGATGAAGGGATACAGCAGATATCAGACCATCCTAAACGTAGTTTACCCGTTTTTGAGTAGTTGCAGATTACAATATGATGAAACTTCGTAGATTATACCAAGTAGCATCAGATAGTTTTGACAAATGATTAACAGTTACAGCTAATTCATGTTTCAACAAATGTCCCTTGGGCAGTAAATTGATTAGTAATTTGTATTTTTTTCTCCTATAGCTTAAATGTGTCATCCACATGAACATGTCCTTCCTGTGGCACTGAACAAATGACCCAAAGTTTTTTTTTAATATATAGAAACCCAGACCAAAGAGGACCTGGACAAAAGTGGGGGAACCCTAATCTAAGAACCCCTGAATTCACAGAACTGCAAAGTAAACATAGATGTTTCATATTTTATATTTTCTACACGTCCTTACCCTACAGCTTACAGCTAATGCATTCTGCATCATACTTTTTTAAACAGTTTCTTACACATTATATTTAAGTACATTAGAAGTTGTCTGACAAAACTAATGTAACAGGCCATATTATTTGCCATTTATACTCAAAAACAGTGAAAATGTACTTATGTGACAAATTCGGTATAAAAATGTAAATAAACATTCTATTTTATATTGCTTTTTATTTGAACAGCCAAAACAGCCCGTAGTTGCAGAAACACTCATATATGTAATAAAAATGTATCTGCAGTTTAAAACCAGATGTGAGTGATAATGTGAATGTAACCAAAAAGACTAATTGTAGTCATTAGTTCACATAAACACACAGGCAAAGAAATACAAGGCAATAGTTCCTTTTACTTTACTAATTTAAATTCCACCATTAGTTAAATTTTTAATTCAGTTCAATCTTACATCATTATGCCATGGGGGTTATTACAAAAATGGCATCTTTGGTAAAGAAAAAAAAAAGTCACATGTCTTCTAATATATGACTAGGCCTGTAACTATTTTCCATAATATATATACTTTTATAGGTCAAACCACACGGTCACAGCTGCACAGTGTCCATGTCGTAAGCAATGATCTGGGTGTCAGGGGAGATAAAACGGAATGTATAAGACAAAGGCATTTTGTTTTCAAGCAAAGGGCATACTCAGGCTTCCCTGACAGAAAAACTGCCACCGTATAAAATAATCTGAGGAAGAAAAGAAAAGCAACACCTGAGCAACATCTCAGGGAAGGTAATAGATTCCATACAAAATATAAATCTGTTGTCTGAAGATAAAAATAAAGATTTGAAATACCCTGCATCACAAAATGTCTATGTACTTCTGTCAACAAAACTATACAACTCCTAAGGTCAGGCTTCTCCACTGGGCAGGTTCTTCCCTTTCAGCAAAAAAGAATGACTACTACAAAAGCCACTTCTGGGAGCTCTCGCTTCAGCAGCAGCCTTTTTACAGGAAAGAGTCATCTGAAGGTGGAGCATAGGAAAACCCCAGAAAGGCGTCGTCGGCCTCCATGACACTGGCATTGACGATGGAGTGCTCTGTGGAAACGCACACCGAATTGGGAACAGTTTCTTCTGTGAACTCTGGATCGAAATTTGAAATGTCATACTGCGACTCCTGTAGGACGAGGAAAGATTGCATTAGCAAAACGCACAATCACTTTTCACAGTACTGTTTTGAGGATGCTTTGAACCAAATGGGTTCTTAGTTATAACAATCTGTATGTAACTAAACAGAGGAACAGATACAGTGAATAAATGGTAGTAAAGACACTTACCACACTGGGGTTAAACGGAGGTGGAATCCTTTTCTGCTCAAGGTCGTCCCAGTTAATAGAAGAGAAAAAGTCATGGCGTTTGACTTCATTCTGAAACAAATAGAGATATTATGTCATTGGTGTCACCAGCATTATAACATTTTTCATCTCCCACAAACGTGCAATATGCTACCAAACAACCAAGTTGTATACAAAGGTTTGGACATCCCCAGTCAAGTGACATGTTTTTCAAAGTGAAAATAAGTTCACACATCCTACACAGAGCACACTTAAATATGACATTGTTCTTCAAATTATAGTGCACAATTTCTATATATCTGAGTTAGACAGATGTTAAATTCATCAAATAAACAGTAATTGTGCATTAAAATGTGCCAAAGTGTGTTATCTGTGGAGGATGTGTAGTTTGATACTAATATATGTATCATTCACTCATGACTGGATGATCTGATGACTAATCACCGTGCAGTCATCCCACGCTTTAAAAGTAACACAGAGGTAAAGGAACAGACATGTACACTTGTCTGTAAATATGCCTGTATTTCAGCTTCATCCACCAGGGGGTGTTACATACAACCAATATGCATAACAGCAGCAGTTTGGTGTAGCACCTCCTCCAGAAGCTTCCAATTAGCCTCCCTGTCCGTTCACATCAATCATCTTTATGATCTCCAATTCATCCTTCCTCCTCCAATCAACTATTAGCCTCGCAGGGCTGAAGGTCCTCTTACTACTACTGGTACTTGCAAAAATGCTTAACACACTTTGGGCAAACTTAAGCAAGGAGAAAGATCCACTGTGACCTTTAACCAACCCAACACATCCAGCTCATCATCCATGGTGTAACTATGACTGATGTACTGTTGAACTTCACACCCAATTTCATTCAGGGGCATGTTCGCCCACCCTTCAAACTCTGGAGATATTTTGAACACAGCTAAAGTTATATGAGAGAAAGCAAGCAAGAGAAAGGGTGTGCAAAAGTGAAAATGCATAAGTGAGAAAAAAAAATGAGAAAACATTAGAAGCATTAGAAAACAAACCCAACCATCCCATGTCCCATGTTTCACATACAAAAACTTGATACTCTATATTTTGTTGGGCCTCAGTCAGGCTGGGGACAGGTAACACACTTCTAAACCAGATGCATTAAAACATAGGATACTTTGGCATTGCCTGGCTTGGAGAAGGAATAAATGCAGGATCACTAATACATGTATGTTTGCAATGACAAATTTGCAATTGTTACAATTTTTGCATATATTATAAAAAAGACCTGAAACCGTAGTAAACATGACTCTACATAAGAGTACAGCTTTTTTTTAAAGAGCCACTATGTACGGTTTAAGGATTTGGAAACATCATATTTTAGCATGTTTTTTTATTCCTTCTGACCCTACGCCTTGCGTAGACAGCAGCGTAAAGCTCCCGGCCATTCAGGTTTTGAACAGCGGAAACACATTGTCTGGAGTGACAAAGTACCACTTTTGTGATGAACTAGAGTACTGTACAGTTGGAATACTGATTATAGACTTAAATCAACCAACATCAGTGCCAATGGATAATCAGTGACTTAACTGAACCTCTATTGCTCTGATAGCAGCAACATGCCAACATTTTAAAACTAAAGGCTCCTAAATGAAAAAAAAATATATATATATAACTTTTAGATTGAATAGAAATTCTTAAAACTCTAAAAAGGTTCTTTAGATGACCAAAATTGGTTCTTCCATAGAATCATTTGGGCACCTTTATATTTTAGAGTGTATAAGAAAGTCTTCCCAAAAGAGTAGAGGCTGTTACTGCAGCAAAAATGGGGACAAGCTCCTTATTATCCTTTTCTTTAAGGTTGTTCAAGTGATAAAAAATATGCATAATTAAATTGTTCAGCTGTGAACAAAGTAATTCAAAGTGGTTTGATGTGAAATTCCAGGTTCTAGAGACATTCACCAAATGGGAATTGTTCACATCGTTAGTGATAGAAATTAGACATCCAAAGCATTTAATGTCTCTAACAGCTACCATCATAGGAAATCATCACACTGCTACATGGTTACCATATGCTGTCTGATGCTTGAGATATTGTTTTATGATAGTTATAGTATAGATACTAGTTCCTGTAAGGTTTTGGCCCAAAATGTAGATGCCAAGTGTTCTAAGGCAAAACTGTACCCCAAGAAAATATTTCTTTTTTCCAGATTTACCGCTATTTTACTATCACCTACAGTACATATAAAAACTCAGAAAACATGTGTAGGGTCACTGGTCATTTTGGAGAGTAAATAAAAAAAGCTATAGATACGTGCAATATCAGTTTTGCAGACCTCTGGTTCTCATCACTAACATTGTGAAGAAATCATCAAGTTCTCTACAATTCACCATTTCACATTAAACCACTCTGAATAATGCTGTCTACATCTATAATTGAATTATGCAGTTGAAAAATAAAATAAAAACAAAAAGAAATTGGTGGAATTCCCCTTAACTACTCTTCATTTTAAAAGAAATGGTGAACAAGCATGTTTTTAGACTCTTAAGAACATCTTATCGCACATCTTGTTGCGACATATTGCACATCTTGTTGCTAACGTATCTTGTTAAATAAAATTACACCAGAAACTCACAAAGTCGTCCCTGTATCCCAGCCTCCTGGTGTTATCCTTCTCCAGTAGAGCCTGTAAGATGGACCAGGCAGTCGTGGATGCACCAGGTCGCATTGGTAGATCCTTATGTAGTATGTTTTCATACATTTCATGTGTGTCCCTACTGTAGAATGGAGGCTGTCGAGGACAACAGAACCATGATAGGTTAACATACAACCATTAAGATTCAACTAACAAAAATAAAGAAATTTGCAGTTTATCTTTACCAGGCCGTAGAGCATCTCATACAGCACAGAGCCCAGACACCACCAGTCCACAGTATTGTCATATGGCTGTTTCCTCAGTACCTCTGGAGCCAGATACTGTCAAGAAACCAATTTATTTTAAAACACTAGATGCAAAAGCCAGTGAACTGAAATGACTGAAATTATTCCACACATAATCCTCTGTATCAGAAGAAAACATTCCATAAAAGACATCATGCT